TAACAACTGCACTGATACACTTAACTATCAGGGTTCCGACAGATGCCCTAATTAAATCATGAGTCTCAAGCCAAGCTTCAAAAGAAATCCAGTTATTTATTAGGAGCTTAATGTCTACACGTTCCCAGCTGAAGCCAGCTCTGACCCTACATAATTTACATTCCAATTATGTCCCTGTTTTCCTCCTCCCCCCAGGGCCATCAATCACATTCGCCAATGGAGCAATTTCATTGGTTGTAGGGGTCACTCCCCTTCGGCTGCTATAGGTAACCCTGGAATACAGCCTTGAGAGAGATAAGCATGGAATGTGCATCTGTCTTTGGCTGCTGTGCCATTTCGCCGGTTTCCTATCCCCCTTGGCCTATGGCAACTCGAGAGCAGGTCAGGGTGCTTTGCAAGTTGACATTAACAACTGTGGAAGGAAAGGTTGCAAAATGGGGCAAAACTCAGTTAACCAATGTCTCACTTAGCAACATAAATTTGGGGCTCAGTTGTGGTCCTAAGTTGAAGACTACCTGCATAACGTTGAAAAAATCAAACATCGAGACCAAACTATGGAATATACTGCAGCACAGAAAGACAGATGTTTCAAAGAAGGAAAAACTTTCATACTAATCCTTGCCCAAGAAGGGATAAACAGAAAAAAATCCATGCAAGATTATTTCAGTATGTGATTACTGTGGTGGGGTTACTATATGCATTGAGATGGAAAGATTTGACTCTATGCTCTATGGAGGAATAGTTGGTGAACTTGACAGATTTTGCTGAAATTGATAACTTGACTTCTTTGATTAGAGAAAAGACCTCATCTATATTTTTTGGCAACTCTTCTGGACTTTTTGTATGAAAATGAAAAAAGTGAACTTGTGATTTATGGCTCTGAGGATTAGATAGGACAGCTTATTTTAAAAAAAGAGTCATATGATGCAACTTTAGAGAGTTTACTACACACACACACACACACACACACACACACACACACACACACACATATATATAAATAAAGGGAACACAAGCAGAAGACATCCGAGATCTGAATGAATGAAATAGCCTTATTAAATACTTTGTTCTTTACATACAGTAGTTTATACACTGCTCAAACAACTAAAGGGAACACAAAACTACTGTATGTAATGAACAAAATATTTAATAAGGCTATTTCATACATATATATATAAACATCCTTGTCCAGAGAAGGTCTATCTGAAGTTCAGCGAGAAAAAGGCACCTACAGTTCAAGCAGCTTACCACAAGATGGCGCTGGAACAGGAATTCATTTTAATTTAATTTACTTTGATTCTCTTATATAGAGTATAATAGTCTGTTTGGCTGGCTGCTACTTACTACAGTGTGCTCTGTGGAATTCTCACCTACTAGCAATTACAAGGAAACACAAAACAATAAGCAGAAAGTTGCAAGTTGGGGTGTGCTCCTGTAGGAAGTTAGCACCCACCCCTCTCCTAGGAAAATGAGATATTTTAGGAAATATTAAAAGGGAAGAATATTTCCATTAAAAGGGAGGCAGAAACTCAGCCCCCCACCACCTTTGTCAATGGGCCATTAAGGCCTGGGCTAGTCTATTCTACATAACAAGGATATACCTCCTTCAGGCAGAGCCATAATAGGAATTGCCCAAAGCCCCATTCATTACATCATCACCAGAGGTGGGTTTCCGCAGGTTCTGATCAGTTCTGGAGAACCAGTAGTGGAAATTTTGAGTAGTTCGAAGAACCGGTAAATACCACCTCTGACTAGCCCCACCCCCATCTATTCTCTGCCTCCCGAGTCCCAGCTGATCAGGAGGAAATGGGGATTTTGCAGTATCCTTCCCCTGCCACATCCACCAAGCCATACCCACCAAGCCACGCCCACCAAGCCACACCCACAGCACTGGTAGTAAAAATAATTTGAAACCCACCACTGATCATCACCCAGCAAGAGTCAACCAAGCTTGGGAGTCAGGACTGCCTACAGAGTTGCCCCTGCATGGCCCAATGGGGGTCTGACAACCAATCAGAATACAAGCTCAAATTCAAAAGTCCAGAGAGGGCATAAAACCGGGGCACACTCAACATCTCTTCCTTTTTTTCTCTTCACCCAAGCTCTTCAAGGCATGTGATCCTGTCCACCATTAAAACTATCTTTCCAAGCAGCCACCATGTTTCCCCACTTGGAACTGAACCCAGAAGTATATTTCTTCTCCTATGACCTATTCCACAAGCAAGCAACTGATGTGGCTTCCTGAAATAACAACCAGGGCCAAGGGTGAACCGTAATGTTAAAAAAGAGTGGCAACATGGAGAAAGTGAGTGAGTAACAGCAATATTTCTTTTCTGTAGGTGATGAATCCCCTTGAACTTCCCTGCTCTTCCTGGCCTCTAAGTTAAATCCACTAAAACTCAGTAAGACTTAGAATTTACGTTGTGAATGATTTTTAATGCACTCTGTAACTCTGGAATTCAAACTAGTATTCATTTATTTCAGGCTGGCTGGAGAATTCGGAGAGTTAAAGTCCACACAGCTTAAAGTTGCCACCGTTGTAAAACGACAATTTCGTATCTTTATCTCCCCCCCGCCCACCCTTTTCGCAGGCAATTCAGAATGAATAACTACAGAAGCCATGAAATAAAATCAAAGCACATTTTAAACTCTCCTAATAGAAACAAAATAAATAAAAACAGCAGGAAACCAGATTCTTTAAATGCGTAGATAAGTGCCATTTCTTTCACTGCTGCAAATAAAAATCAGTGTTACTAAAAGTCACTTTCTTCGTGTAACACAAGTCATACCAAGATTTCCTTTTAATGACATCTGATTTATGTCACCTAGCCTCAACTGAAGACCATGCCTTTCTATCTACGTGATCTTTTCAACCGTTTTTCTAAATGTTGCTTTCAGATTTACCCAACCCAAGGAAAACCTTCTCAAAGGGAAGGCACAGAGTTCTCACACTGAACCTCAATTATAAAAGAAAATAGACAAAGGGGTGTGAAAAAGTGTCCTCTCTTGGAGATCTATGTTTCCATCAGTCTGCAATTATCTCTAACATACAATGTTTTCAGTAAAACCAAGGAAAGGATAGCAATAGCAATAGCAATAGCACTTGGAATTATATCCCATTCCACAGTGCTTTACAGCCCTTTCTAAGCAGTTTACAGAGTCAGCATATTGCCCCCCAACAATCTGAGTCCTCATTTTACCGACCTCGGAAGAATGGAAGGCTGAGTCAACCTTGAGCCGGTCAGGATCGAACTCCTGGCAGTGAGCAGAGTCAGCCTGCAATACTGCATTCTAACCACTGAACCACCACGGCTCTAAAGAATTAAAAGATATCCCAAAAAAATGCTTTTCATAGACCTATTCAGATCTGTGCGGGCAGCCAATTCTCTTCACAACCTTGCAATAAATATACAAGCTAAAAAAAAACCCTCTACAGATAATTCTCGACTTACAACCATTTATTTGGTGACCATTCAAAGTTACAGAGCCACTGAAAAACACACTTATGACTGTTGCAGCATTCCCCGTGGTCACATGATCAACATAAGGGCACTTGGCATCCAGCATATAATTACAATGGTTGCACTGTCCTGGGGTCATGTGATCACTTTTTGCAACTTTTCCAATTGGCTTTCGACAAGCAAAGTCAATGGGGGGAAATTGATTCACTTAATGATCACATGATTCATTTAACAACTGAAGTGATTCACTTAACAACCATGGCAAAAAGTGGTAAAATTGGGCGCACCTCTCTTAAAAATTGCCTTACTTGGCAATAGAAATATTTAGTTCTTACAATTGTGGTTGTAAGTTGAGGACTAACTGTACTAAAACTTTGAGAATGAACATGAATAGAATAGAATAGCAGAGTTGGAAGGGACCTTGAGGTCTTCTAGTCCAACCCTCTGCTTAGGCAGGAAACTCTACACCATTTCAGACAAATTGTTATCCAATCTCTTCTTAAAAACTTCCAGTGTTGGAGCATTTACAACTTTTGGAGGCAAGTTGTTCCACTGATTAATTGTTCTAACTGTCAGGAAATTTCTCCTTAGTTCTAAGTTGCTTCTCTCCTTGATTAGTTTCCACCCATTGCTTCTTGTTCTACCCTCAGGTGCTTTGGAGAATAGCTTCACTCCCTCTCCTTTGTGGCAGCCCCTGAGATATTGGAACACTGCTATCATATCACCCCTAGTCAGTGGTGGGATTCAAATAATTTAACAACCGGTTCTCTGCTGTAATTATTTCTTCCAACAACCAGTTCATCAAACTGCTCAGAAAGTTAACCGGTTTTCCCGAAGTGGTGAGAACTGGCTGAATCCCACCACTGCCCCTAGTCCTCCTTTTCATCAAACTAGACATACCTACTTCCAGCAACTGTTATTTATATATTTTAGCCTCCAGACCCCTAATCATTTTTGTTGCCCTTCTCTGCACTCTTTCTAGAGTCTCCACATCTTTTTTACATCGTGGCAACCAAAACTGAATGCAGTATTCCAAGTGTGGCCTTACCATTATAATGGGAATCTTACAGCCAATCAGAGTGCATTTCTTGCACAGGAGTGGGAGGCCTCAGGGCGGGGCCCAAGAGACGGTATAAAACCAAGGGACTCTCAGCATCTTGGCCCTTTTTTTTTCTTCACCCAACATCTTGAAGCATATGATCGCCCTTTTCTGCCAGGACCTCAAGCCATGTGATTCTGATCAGAAACTCAAGCCATGTGATCCTGTCCACCATTAAACCATCTTTCCAAGCAGTCTCCATGTTTCCAGTGTCTTTTTCCCCACTTGGATCTGAACCCAGATGGACATTTCTTCCAACAATCAGTGTCCGTAGAAGCCACCACGACATCATGCGAATCACGGTGTCAATATAGAAATAATGCAACGTACCAACTTCGAGTCATTTAGTGATAACACGGCTGGTAGAAGAAGTCTTTGAGGCAATCACGTGTCCATCAACTGTGACTTTAAATATACATGAAAAACACCTTTCCACTAACCTGCCAGAATATGCTGTCAATTGTATTGCCCAAAAAGCCATCCCGCCCTTCTGAGGAGACCAGTTTAGGCCCAAGGATCGTCATGAATTCATCAAAATCAACTTGACCATCTCCTAGAAAGGAAGAGGAGAGAGAGAGAGAGAGAGAGAGAGAAATGGGTGTAAGAGAAGGCGGGAAAAAAAACGAAAGCAGAGAATTCTGAGAAATGACACTGAAGTTTCGGTGGCCATCTTGGATTGTTCAACAGAGATTTCTGACATTAATTGTACCACTGATTATTTTGTTGCGAGGGAAGACACTTTTATACTCCCAGATAAAAGAGAAGATCACAGCAAAGTACAAGATGTAGATGAACATCACACCAAGTAAAACATGCTCAGGAAAAAAAAAAAGCCAATAAAGTAAAGCAAAGCAAACTGAAGCCAATTAAAACAGCTATTAAAGCGAGAAATAAAGAAAACAGACCATTCAGCTAAATTGATCAAAAGACTGGGCTCAACTTGTGAATATTTATGGAGGAAGTTTCCAGCAGGGCAGATACTTACACAATACCACAAATGTGTTGTTGATTTGTGGAAAATGTTAGGGAATAGGCGGCGTGGTTTTCTTTTTTTAAAGGCAGGTTTAATTAAAAGGAAGGAAATAGAGGGAAAGTGCAGAACAAAGCACCCAAGCACCTTTACTCAGAACAGATCCCCTGGTCTCATTTGATTAGAAAATAAACACGTTCAGAGGACTCTTTCTGCTGCTTAGCTTAGAAGCATTTTCATTGAACTGGGGAGGAAAAAACAGAAAAGAAGTGAAGGAAACACATGACATTTTTCTTCTGCCCAGGGAATGTTTCAGGGCTCCCAGATCGGGGGCACTCAAAAAGATCACCAGATAGCTGCAAAGAATTACTCAAAATTCTTAATTCAAGTCGTTGTCTGAATCCCTGCAGCCCAGATACCAGAGTTCTAGTGTTTTATTTTATTTATTTATTTTATTTATTTATTTTGCCAAGCATGTATTAGATAACAGATATAAGTATAAACATAACTAGGAATACATGAAAAAGGATACGAGTAAAAAGGGACATTAGGACAGGGATGGTAGGCACGTTGGTGTGCTTATGGTCGTCCCTTACAGACCTCTTAGGAATGGGGTGACGTCGACAGTAGACAGTCTAAGGATAAAGTTTTGGGGTTTGGGGAAGAAACCACAGTCAGGTAGTGCATTCCAGGCATTAACAATTCTGTTACTGAAGTCGTATTTTCTGCAATCAAGTTTGGAGCGGTTTCCATGGGTTTGTACCTATTATGTGCTTGTGTATTGTTGTGGTTGAATCTGAAGTATTCATTGACAGGTAGGACATTGGAGCAGATAATTTTATGTATTACACTTAGGTCGGACCAAAGATGGTGAAGTTCTAAATTGTCTAAGCCCAAAATTTCAACTCTGGTGGCCTAAGGTATTTTGTTGCGAGCAGAGGAGCGGAGGACTCTTCTCGTGAAATATCTCTGGACTCATTCGATTATATTAATGTCCGATATGCAGTGCGGGTTCCAGATAGATGAGCTGTATTCAAGAATTGGTCTAGCAAAAATTTATGAGTGGTCACACCTCATCATGGCAGCCATTTTATGCGCCAGCAAGCTTCCGCAACATTTTTAGTAACTGGTCAGGAGAGGACCTCAAAATGGTCAATGGACTCCCTCGGCTTTGCCTACCACTGGCATTTATATTTTGAGAGACTCTTATTTATTTCTATGCTACCTATATCTCTCTATAGTAACTCTGGGTGACTTGCAATAGAACAAAAGCAAGAGTATAAAAATATTAATACGTTACAAATATTGCAAATATTAACAGAGATTGGGTAGAGTAGGAACCAGTACGCGGGCAGGATGGAGGTAGGGGTCTTCTTTCTTAGTTCATTGACCACCTCCATTGTAGAATGACCCCATTGGTGACCCAGGGCAATTGGAAGACTCTTTGAGATGCTTTCAGAAGTCCAGAAGGATCAGGGGTGATCTCACACACCAGATGTTCGTGTGTGTGTGTGTGTGTGTGTGTGTGTGTGTGTGTGTGTGTGTATGGACACAGCAGAAAAGGCCCTTCTCCTGGATCCCATCGACCCATCTTCTTTGACCAATGGAGTCAAGGGCAGGCTCCTTCTGCCAGAGTAAGAGGCCAATCCCATTGAGATGAAATGATTCCTCAGGTAGCCTGGACTCATGCCATGAAGGGTTTAAAGGTGATAACTAACACCTTGAACAAGACCAAGAAACAAACTTTCAACCAAGTGCAGCACTCATTGGAAGATGTCTCTGGAGATTCTCAGTCATCCAGGTCATGGTTGTCCCAAAGGTGCTTTTTCAAGAGGCAACTGGATTTTCTTGGGTTTTTTTCTTTTGAAGACGTTTCGTTTCTCATCCAAGAAGCTTCTTCAGCTCTGACTGGATGGTGGGGAATGGAAGGATTGATATTCCTTGCAGACTGCTGGTAATCTGCATCCTTTTAGGGTCTACTCAGGTGACCCTGAGGACACAGATAAACCTCCAAATGCTTCAACGACCAGCTAAAAGGATGCAGATTACCAGCTGTCTGCAATGAATATGAATCCTTCCATTCCCCACCATCCAGTCAGAGCTGAAAAAGCTTCTTGGATGAGAAACAAAATGTCTTCAAACAAAAACAAGAAAGTCCAGTTGCTTCTTGAAAAAGCACCTTTGGGACACTCATTCGAAGAGCTGCACAGCCCTAACTTTTTATTTCTATCTCACCTCTCTATTCAGTCTGAGCATTTCAGGTGGCTGGGAGGCGGAGAATAAATAAAAGCAAAATAAAAATGACACACATTAAAATCAAAGCAAACTCAGCTGTTAAAAACCTGGCCAAAGAGATGCTCTTAGGTTGCTCTTCTTAGGGGACAGAAAATAAGGCCAAAACACATGTTCTAAAACGAATTCATTCCATGGTTTGGAAGTGAAGCAGGAGTTGGCCTCTTATCCATGTTCCAAAAAGGCCATCTTCTAACAATAGCTTCATCTTCACAAGGGTTTGTCCAGCAGCTTCTATTAGCCAAATAATTCAACAGAGAAGAAGATGTTTGGTAGATGGTCAGGCGCTAAGACAGACCCCCAAGATTAATACCAAGATTTTAATTTGGAGGTTATAAAAATATCTGCAATATTAAAGCAGGGTGGGAGGAAAGGACTTTCAATGGAAAAATGCATCATGATTCTTTTGCATGCAGCATTTCATAGTTGTGCCCTTGTCAATGGGCGTACTGCCAAGGGCATATAAAGACCATACAATAATGCAAATGCATACATTATCATGTAAGGATTTATTTCTCTGGTGTGTAAAGGGATACATACCCAGAATAGTAAACCATCTCACAATATTCAAGAGATGCAATTGAAATGAACCTATCCATCTCTTTAGATGATCCACATTTAGATGAATGACCATCTCAGGTTGATAAGTGGCAAAGCGTCCTTCACTTTGTCAAATATCATTGCATTCTCTTTACCTTTCAGCCATTTTTCGTCTTTCTTTTGTTATATGACATTAAACTAACCCACCCTGTGAATTTAAAGTTTGAAGTGTATTGAATCGGGCTGGTTCATCAAATATTGTTCTGATCATGTATTTTTAAATTCTCCAAAATCTACCGTGATCAACATTTGAAAGCTAAATTGAAAATGTAGTTGCTAAAAATTTAGACAATTTGAAAGAAACAATCTATTATGTGTAAAAAAAAAAACGCAATTAAGAGAAATTCTCACTTGAAACAAAGCCTGTATATTTCCAGAACCCTGGAATAATCAGTTGAAGTCAAACATATAAATAATAGATCTCTTTCCAGAGAGCTTGTTTCAGTTTTTGTTCCATTTTTTTTTTTAGAATTTAAAGGTAAAGTAAAGGTAAAGGTTCCCCTCGCACATATGTGCTAGTTGTTCCCGACTCTAGAGGGCAGTGCTCATCTCCATTTCAAAGCCGAAGAGCCAGCGCTGTCCGAAGATGTCTCTGTGGTCATGTGGCCAGCATGACTCAATGCCAAAGGCGCACCGAATGCTGTTACCTTCCCACCAAAGGTGGTCCCTATTTTTCTACTTGCATTTTTTACGTGCTTTCAAACTGCTAGGTTGGCAGAAGCTGGGACAAATAACGGGAGCTCACCCCATTACGCGGCACTAGGGATTCGAACTGCCGAACTGCCGACCTTTCGATCGACAAGCTCAGCATCTTAGCCACTGAGCCACTATGTCCCTACCATAATCAATGGGTTAAATACAGATAATCCTCAAGTTATGATCACAATTGACCCCAAAATTTCTGTTGCTAGGTGAGACAGTTGTAAAATGATTTTTGCCCTATTTTAAGACCTTCCTTTTTTTTTAAAAAAAAATTTGATTTATATGCCGCCCTTCTCCGGAGACTCAGGGTGGCTTACAATGCGCTAAGCAATAGCCTTCATCCTTTTGTATATTTATACAAAGTCAGCTTATTGCCCCCACAACTGGGTCCTCAATTTACCTACTTTCGAAAGGATGGAAGGCTGAGTCAACCTTGAGCCTGGCGAGATTCGAACCTGCAGTAATTGCAGGCAGCTGGTCTTAATAACAGGGTGCTTTAGACCACTGTACTTGCCACAGTTGTTAAGTGAATCCCTGCAGTTGTTAAGTGAGTAACACAGTTGTTAAGCGAATCTGGCTTCCCCATTGATCTTACTTATTACAAGTTCAAAAGGGGATCATATGACTCCAGGACACTGTGACCGTCATAAATATGAACCAGTTGCCAAGCATTGATCATGCGACCAATGGTTGTAAGTGTGAAAAACAGTCATAAGTCACTTTTTTCAAGTATGTTGTCACTAAACGAACGGTTGTAAATTAAGGACTACCTGTATGGATTAACCATGCACTGTTCTCTTTGGCTGGCATCTACTATTTCAGTCTGCACTTATCTGGGTCCCCCCACTTTTTGGCTGGTTTTTTTTTTGGAGCAGGGAAGTGGGGAATTGAACCTAAAGAGGCCACCAAAATCAGCATCTTAGCCACTGAGCCACCGCGTCCCTGTTTTAGAATTTAGGGATGTACAAAATATTTTGCATTCAAAACAC